TGCGTTTATGCAGATGAAATGACACGTTGTCGTTTAAGAAGTTAATAAACAGTCTCCGTTTTGCAGGTTATCCAAATGCTACTGAATAGAAAACCCTGGATCCCTAAATGATGTGTAATTAAAATTATTTTTAAAATCCTCCTTGACAGGCCGGGGCTTAGCCAAAATGTAAATGACATTAAAGAAGACAATGAATTTAATTTTATTTAATGTCCCTTTTTGCAGATCCTCATTTACATAGCATTTTTAACAAAAGCGTTGACCTTATAAATGCTGGCATTTGTACAGCTCCCTCGGAGTTGGATTTAATCACGCTCCTGCAAAGCCATGAGGGAGGAAGCTTTAAGTTCTCTGCTCGGAGACAGAGTAGGAATAAAAACAGTGGGACTGGTCAAATGTTTATCCTCCCCGCTTCTGAAAACAACCTGACAAGAAGATGTAAGGGGCTGGGGAATAGCCCGGTGCTGTTTGTAAGGCTTGGTAATAATCATACATAATCGTTTGGAAATATAGCTAATAAAAAATATAATGAGTGTTCAGCAAAATCGGCATTAGGCCCAAATTACATGATATTAATACTTGAACAGGTGCAGAAAGGCGCTTTAAATGAGGTAAATGAATAAAATGTCCCAGAGCACAACTGTGTGTGCTGACAAAAAGTCAATGCCATGAATAATTCAGTGAGGGGGACTGCCAGCAAAGGTCGGCTCTCTTTGACCTTTGTGACAGGAAGTGAAAGGAAACACTGTTGACTAAAAAAAAAAAAAAAGAAAGAAAGAAAGAAAGAAAAAAAGAAAGAAAATCTCCAATCGGTCTTCAGCTACCGTTCTGCAATCACTTTAAAGGTGTAAACTTAAAACGCGTAAATGAATCAAAGTAGGGCTTTGGAGGGGTGGGGCGGGGGGGGGGTGCCGAGTTAGAACTGTTGGTAGTTAGCACATCTGATAAGGACAATGTGAAATCGCAGACAATAAAGGTTAAGTAAATAATATTTTTCTACAACCCCATGTCAATTATGTATAAAAATCTGAGGTCAGCTGAAAAGTATTTTCAGAGCCCACAGGGTTGAAATTTTGTAACAGCTGTTAAATATGACAAACTCCTCCCCCCCCCAAACTAAAGCTATTCCAAACTCTGTATGAAAGAAAATGGGATAAACAGATGTCTGGCTTCCAGACAGGAAAGTAGGACAGACTTGGAATGATAAGTCTCCCAAACTCTATAGACCAATGCCAGATTTATTGGGGGGTGGGGGGGGCACTGCCTGCCACAGAGGTGCCAGCAAGTAGGACGCGGGAGACCGTGCCATCTGGAACCACCCCGCCGCGCACGCTCCCGGCGCTCCGCGAGCACACAGTGTGCGACCCGGCCTGTTTGGACGGTCCCAGCACCCGGCTCCCACCGCTTCGCAGGTTGCAACAGTTGGACCGTGCACACCATGCACCTCCGGTCCACTCAGGCCAGGCAAGGAAGGGAGGTGAGAGTGGGGACCTTCCCGGACACTTCCAGAAGGCCTCAGGAAACACATCAGGATGGCACGGGAGAAGGACGAGAGCCAAAGTGTGGTTTTGGTTTAGCAGCTACACCGACATCCTGTAATCATTTACAGCCCTTGGAATGTACGGGTGAAACAAGAGAGATTTATCTGTTCATAGTTGGGATATGTGGACAATGGGTGTTCCTAATGAAGACCATCTGCTTTTGTGTTTTCCCAGAAAACATTATTCCATGAAGAAAATGATACTCCCATCCTTTTCAGGAATACCGTAAAATAATTATGCATGCATTTGCATATGTGTACACAGATATACATACGTGCGGGTGCGTGTGCCTGGCTACGCAGACACACACACACACACACACACACACACACACGCCTTTTCCCTCCTTACATCTGGCTCTCCACAGGTCTCTATGACGTACCATAGCGCTCCTATGGTGCCTCTTTATGGACCCTGCTTTTTACTTTACAATGTTACGTTTCCCCTTTCCTTTACCCCGTAAGTTGTTACATTATCTTACATAAACTCCCGTGTAATTATATTTGTGGAGCTATAAAAAATGGTTTATCTAGCATTGTTTGAGGAAGAAAACAGTTAATGTAAGTGAAACCTTCACAATAAATTAAAAGGGTTTGGTAATCCTTTTCCCCTCTTTTTGACTCTGAAGGGTCTTCCGTGCTGTTCATGAGTATTTAATGCTTCTGAAAGATAACTAAATTGTGTAATTAATTGATTTAAGGCATCGGGGTCTATAGAATGTGACTTCCCTGCCAGAGCGGGAAGCTTACTCCTCTGTTCTCATAACACAGAAAAGCAGTCCCGGCGTGCCGGAAGAGGCTCGGTGTGGGTTAGAACAAATGTGGGCCCATTGATCTCAATTCAGGTTGGAATTATTGGTTTATATCCTCAGGACAAATATGCCTTATCTGGTCAGAACCTGCTAAATGTATCCAAAGGCCACAAGGAGCTGGCGAAGCACATTGTATATAATTCTTTTTTAAGCCAACTAACCAAGTGATGACATTGCTGATGGGGACCTGTAGACTGACTCACCAATCTGATGGGATATCTTATCCTGCAATACTCAAGAGGGAACACAGGCTAGAAACTCAACATAAGCAACTAATTTTAGGAGGCAACACTCACCCCACAGAAATGACTATCATTACAAAATTGAAACACATCTCAGTCACGAAAGACTGCCTCTCTCTAAAGATATTCCCCTCCTGTAGTTGTTTTTCTTTCTCTGATTAACACAACTTGCCCTAGTGAACCCGAGATGCTTCATTTTTCCTCTCAAAATACACCTAAAACTGGAGATTGAGCCAATACAGCAACGATTTCACGAGGATTTACATCAAGCAGCAAAATGCAAATAGTATTTATTCATTATAAGTGACAGCTCTCTTAAGAATGTTAAAAATGTACATTCTATTTGTCACTGCATAAGAAACTGTCCTTACCTTAAAATCCCTAACATGGAAGGTGATTAAAATTCCTATAAAATTGTCATATCTTTGAATTTAGAAGCAGAGCAGATTTTTCATCAATAATTAAGACCTCCAAAGCATTTACGCCAGGCGTAAATGGAGCTGCAATCCTCCTTATTCAAATAAACTTGGTAAACCCATTAACCAAATGTTTTTACATTTTCCCCTCCTCTTGTGCTTCTAGAATATCAAACAATCACACACTTCTCTTACTTAGATTAGAAAGGTATCAGTAATCTTAACAAACACTTTAACCAAATATAAGAGAGCAGACATGAATTGAAGAGTACATTTCTGCATATCAAGGGAAGATATTTCCCATTGTGTGATTACAACTGAGTATTAAAAGTTGTTCAGTATCAATAGTCAATAAATGATTGAATGCTACACAAACCCAAAATGATTTTGAAGGGAAAACACAGCCTCCAAAATGGCAGTTGAATCAGCCTGACTACTCCATTATTGTGCCATGCTGAAAACCTCGCAAATTTAAAAACAAGTCATCTTTCTAGAATGTACCAACATCACAAATTGAAGACAACTCAAAAGATGAAACGCTTCGCAGTCCTGGATCCTGAGCAAGCATGCACTGCCTTTTCAAGCATCCCCCATTGAGACAAGATTCCAAGAGCTGCTCAAACACTTTTAGCCAATCAAAAATAAAATAAATTCAGTTACAAGATGACAACCCAAGGCTGTATGATTTCCATAGCCACAACACTGAAGACAAATATAATTATATTGATTTTTGTAGTTGGAGTTCTATAAAGTGTTGAACTTGTTCTCAATTGCCTGAGTGACGGCCACAACTGGTCAGCCCTATTTGATTACTAATAAGAGAGCTGTCCCTTCT